AATTCTGATTTGGTGAAATTCAGGTTTGGCGTTGGTGAGTTTGGCTTCGCTAATGTCAGGGAAACTGCCCTTGTTATGATCAAAGCTGAATTTGAACCAAGTACACTATTAGTCCATTTCTGTCTCTGTCTCAGATTTAACTTCTCCCTGGTATTCAGGTAATGATTTCTGCAGACCAGGCCTCCAGTCAGCAGCTGAGGACAGCTTGGTCAGCCAATATCAGTGTCTTTTGTTTGAAAAGTCTGAAACTGAGGTATTCCAAAGTGAAGATGCTGCTCTCAAGTATTCTCTTCTTTAACTTCGCTTGGGGGAGCCTAAATTTCTACTTCTGCAGATACGTTCCACAAGCACCTCTCTTTATGCTCTAGACAGATATAAGTGACTTTTTACAGATTTCAAGTGTGTGATTACAAATTCACAGCCCCATGGATTTTAAGGCCAGAGAGGCTGTTTCGTTAATCTACTCAGAGCTAATGCATAGCACGGATCAGGAAACCATCTTCAACTACTTCCTGCTGCAAGTCCAGCAGCTGAAGCTGAACTAGGATCTAGGTTTTAGAAAAACACACAGCAGTTTAAGATGAAGTTTAATAGTCTTTCAGGGGAAAGAAACTCACCAGAGCTTTGGGTGGCTTGTTGCAATTAGTAACTTCATCCAGTGGTCAAATAGGCCTAGTATATCTACATTTAATCTGTCTACCTACAGCTTACAACTATTAGTTTCCAATAAGCTTTTTGCCCCCAAGACTGTAAAATCCTCTGTTATCAAATGCCTATCCTCCTTATCAGTATTTACAGACCATGATTAAGTTATGTCTTAACCTTCCCTTTAATAAACTAGGTAGCTTGAGTCCCTTGAGTCTCTCATAAAACATGAGCTCTGATTGTTTACTTACTCCCTCAGATACTGAATTGTGCCCAATTTCTAAACTTTTTCCTTGAATAACGGGCACCTCAACCAGACATGCTGCATTTCAGCAGTTTTTGCAACAAAACAATGACAGTTATTACACGACTTTCTGTAGCAAAAGGGGAAAAGACAGAGAAAAAAGGAAGACATCGCAGAATGGGGGAGAAAAAAAGAACGAAAGGGGTTAAAAAGAGGCAAAATAACAACTGAAAGAAAATGGAGAAGGAAGGAAAGACTCAAAGTAGGACAAGGTAGTAAAGAAATAAGTAGCTATTGAAATAGAAGCTCAGGAAAAAGCAAGAGATGATGAAAAGACCATGCAAAGCAGTGCCTATTTACAAGTATACTTTCATAAGTTGTCCTGGCAGTTCCTGCTACCTATCGCTCCACTCAATTATTTCAGGCAATCAGTGATCATTGCATGATCCTCCCTGCTTAAGAACACACACTACACCTTTGCAGAATCTTTCAGAAGCAGAGCTCATTAGCACCACAAGGCACTAAAACAACCAACCAACCAACCAACCTCCCTGAAGCCCACCAGTCACGTTTCAATCGAGCTCCACAAGAGAAACGTGGAAGGGACTGTGTCTCTTCCCATCCCCCACCCTGGAAATACCTGCCTCCCTTCAAGGCCAGCACTGGAGGACTTGGTCAGAAGAAACAAAAGGCACTTACACACAAAGCACACATATGGAGCTCTGGGCTCCAGTCATCAAGCCTGGGACATCTGTGGCTTTCTCAGGATGCCTGTGTGTTCAAGTAATTAGTCCAAGGCCAGCTGTCACCTTCTCACTCTTCACCCTTTATGCTCCCATTTCTTCTACTACTATTGTCTGTCCAAAGAGTATTTCGTCTGATGGATCACCAAGAGAGTTGCTTTTTTGCTGTTGTTTATTCTTTGGAAGGAGGAAGTGGAAGAGAACTGGTGAGGTGGTAAAGAGGAAAGGACTCTTCTGAGTACGTCTCATGAGACACTCAACGTTTCCAAACAAGCCTTTACCACATCAGAGGAAAGATTTGCTTTAACGTTTATATCTGAAGTTATAAACTCCAAACGCTTGTGCTGGTACTGAAAATGCAACCATCAATAGTGAACCTGCCTGTTCAGGAAAGCTTACTGCTTTACGGACACATTCAGCTCTGGTATTCTGGGCCTAATTTCCCTCTCAGCAATCCAGAAGTAATTCAGGGAAATTAATGAACCCTATTTCAATCTCAAGACGCTCCCTATAACACACTCCTTTCTGAAATCTTTCTGCCGATTTGTGCTAGAGCAAGCTAGAGGTACTGTGGGAGGCAGGTCTCCACATCAGTGGGAGTTACCACGGTGCAGCTGAAGAAACCCAGCTGAAGCTTTTATCAGTTGCATGAAAGCAGGAGCAAGAACAGAACCAGCCCTTCTATTCTCATCTGTGAAATTACATTTGTAGCTTTGCCCCAAAACCAGGCTCCCAAACAGGCCCAAGCTGGAGCCGGGAAATGAACGCTGCTCCCCAGCCTGTGTTTAGTGAGCAAGGGCATGACAAAGCAAAACGTTTGCATGTGCATTGAGCAGCCCTGTCCTTTGACAGGGCAGCAAGCGCTTGGATGATACATTTACCGCAGCTTGCGCTGCATCATGCCTGTCTGTGTATCATCTCCATAGCAGCAGTTCTGCTAATTGAGACCAGCTGCTTCTATTCCAAATTCTTCTCTCCAGAAATATTGATACTACGACGTTATGATTAGAAAGCACTTTACCAAATGCCTCTCAATTCTGCACCGCTCAGATGAAGAGCAACTGCAAAAAGAAGGGACAGTTCCCCGAACATACAGAATAAACCACTGCAAAAACACTGGAGAAATGAAGTCTATAAGAAGCAAGTTAAAACAGAATAACAATGGCAGAGAAAGCAGCCTGCTGTATATGCTTGTGCCTGTCATTTTAGATGTTGAAAGGACCACGAGCAGACTTCTTCCTTATGCTCTAGGATAAATGGCCACAGCACTGCAGTGTTACAGCTTCACGCAGCAGGTGTGCATATTTGTCAGATCCAGTTTTTCTGTCCAAGGATGGATTAAAGCAAAGTCCATCAGTCTGGGCCCAGTTTGGGAGAGTAGCTCTGGTCTTGAATCATTTGGCTCCAGGGACTGTTCTGCACAGCCCACTGGAACTGATAAGCTAGTGGGAAGATTTGCAAAGTAGGAATGCCACCATACCACCATGACTTGGCTTCACTGTTGGCTATTTCCCTGTGGCTGCTGACTCCACACAGCAAGCTGTCAGCTGGATGCTTGGCAATGGTCACATTGAGATTGCTGAAAGCTGCAAGCATTTTTCCCCTTCGGCCAGGCTGGCTTAAGCTGGCTAACAGTACAGTCAATTCCAAATTCACTTAGAAGTCTCAGGCCCTGTCTGTGACCATCAGACAGAGGGCATTCCTGAAAAGACATCTGGTTACTGAGTTGGGCAAGCCACTTCAACCCCATCTGTTGTTCCAACCTCCTGAGCACAGAGAACAGAATTCTTGAAAGAGAAAATCTCACCAAGAATGGTCTGAAAATGAGAATCACAATACAACACGTGGTTTTCTCCAGAGAAGGATGCTATACAATCTTACAGAAAACACGGCACGCTTCAGCATGCGGCTGTGTAAACAAGGGCCTAACACACCATTTCACTACTCAGATTTCATACTACAACTGAGGTAATGCAACATAACTAAAGCAGAGATCACTTTGCTATGCTAAGTGATTTGCCTCCTACTCTGAAAATCAATGAGGTAAATAAAATGTTTTATACAGATACCAGACAGTGTCTCTCAGCAAACAAAATGCTCATGTTTTTTAAAAATATTCCTACTATGTTACTCTGGAAACTATTCAAAGTGTTTAGTCTCATTCAGATTTTACCATTTACACACTTTGTTTGCTTTTGTTGTGTTCCATTCATCCACTGAATCTCCCTTTAAACTTGCAGTTTTCTTACCTATTTCACTTTCTAACTTTTGGTCTATATTAGAAGACTGTTTGAATCCACAGTACTGCAGGAGAGGGAATACATCAATGAAATTCCAGAAAGGTAAGTCTGAATACATTACAATTGAATACAAACTTTAAGAATCCTTCTCTGAAAAAAATAAAATTACATTGTATGTGTAACATTCACTGACTGCATATTCCTGTAATCTCCATTTTCTTTCTGCTCCCAGTAAGGTTGCTATACTTACTTGTGCTGGAAAACAGCTGACACAGAAGTACATATAAGAAACAGCAGTGTAAAGATATATGCTCCATGTGCTTATAGGGAGGTTACCTTAATAAAGTGCTCTACGCTGCATGCAGACCTGTTAGCGTCATTTGCAGGTGACAGCTTGATGGAATTCTGTTGATTGCAGTGCAGTTGTGTTCCCTCTCATCAAGCTGAATTTAGCCTTTCTAGTCACCAAATCACATGAATAAACTTTTATGCATATATTTATTTTATTTTTAGGTTTCCAAGATCAATCAATGACACTCATGTAAAGAAGACGGCTATCACAAGGCTAGATAAAAAACGAATTAAGCTCTTCTGAACACTACAGTCATTGGGACCACTGGGACAGACACTTTGATGGCTTCCAATGGCACAGCTCTGTGGATTGTTAACAGAATTACAACAGCTTTAAACAGTCACGGACCTTGGCACATCAGATCATAACGAACCCATGCAGCAGAGCAAGCAGTAGGAGTATCCAAACAACAGATTCACCAGCCTCTCTTAAATCTCTTCCTACTGACATATGTACACCTCAGTCTGCAATGTACCGCAATTGTTATGCACTCCTGCAGTAGTAGAAGTCAGATGCCCAACACACATCTGCCCCAGCAGAGAAGCAACAACTCTGCAGCTGACCATTTATTTTGTCCACAAAGCACAGGCATACTCCCATTTAATTTCAGCTGCCCTAGCCTCCCCCATAACTAAATTATTGTTATTATGCTTCGCATAATCCTAGTACTGACAGGGATGTTTGTTATACGTAATTAAAGATATTAATTTTGCATGGAACAGAAGACACAGAGCCAAGAACTTAATTTTTTTAAAAATCTCCTATTAGAAAATTACCTTCATTAGCACCGACTCGCTGAGCTTCTCTCTGTTGACAATTTTTATTGCGACCTTCTGACATGTGACACAGTGAACCCCCAACTTCACAAGTCCTGCAAGAGAAACAGAGCAAAATAGAAAGGAAGAATTGGTTAGAGATAGTCGCCGTTGAGATTTTTGCTAATAGTACGCCACCCAGCAGTTGGCAACTTACATGCAAATAAATTTTCACTAGTCCCTCCTCCAGCCAGATAATAAGCTCTTGTGAGTAATGAAGACCCTGCAGCCCACATTGTGACCATTTGGCAGTGAAGCCGCCAACATCCTTAATGCTGCTGCAGTTTCTGCCATTAAAGCTGTATTTTTGTTGAAGCACTGTATTCCAGCTCTCACCACTCAACATGCATTCTACCAGCAAGAAGTAAACTTCCGCCAATTTAACCATACTAGGCTAAGGGCTTTTGCCAACACCTGACATCAATGAAAGCTCAGAAATCAACAAAACTAGATGGTCAAAGAGGTAAGTAACATACATGAAGCATTATCTTCTGCAAAATTTTGACCTAAATCTGCTGACTTGCATGAAAGTACATTGAGATATCTCCCACAAGTGAGTTTAAGATGGTCCCCTGAGCTCTCAACTCTATCGTCATTAAGAAAATTTATACCCGGAAAAATTGTACTTTGTAGGTCTATTCTAGAGAGATCTGGTTTGCTTCAGCTTTTACTCGTCAAACGTGCACATAGAATAGAATTCTATAGAATTCTAGAATCATAGAATTCTATTCTATGTGCACGTTTGACGAGTAAAAGCTGAAGCAAACCATGTAGCACAACACCTGATAGGCTGGATCCCATCCCACTCTACACACAATATGCCAAACTGCTATTTAGTTTAATTCAGTTATAGCTGAAGTAAGAAGAAACGGCACCTCCCTGGTGTCACTGGGACCTGCTGGGCTTCACAGAGCATTTATGAGCAATGACATCGCACAGTAAGAAAAAGCCTAGCTCAGCTAGCAGCTCCTAGGTTGGGCTGCAGTTAAGATCCTGACCCTATCCCCTGACGCAAACCACAAAACCAAACACGTTGCCTTATCTGCAAATTGAACACAACAGATCTGCAGTCCAGCGAAACAATGAACACAGGACTTCACACTTCTTATTGAGGGGTGAATATATAGATTATTGCCTTACTACAAACTGTCCCCAGTGAAGTGAACTAGAGTTTCATCAGGGACTCCAGCAATCTCCTGCAGATACTTGTCCATCTTTTTGCTACACAGTTAATCATAAATTTGGAACCATTAATCACTGGTTATTATGCTGAGAAATAAACTCCTGACTCGCTTCCAGTCACCTCTCTTTTATGTGTTCTGAGTATTTCTAGTCACATAATTTCTCAGCCTCATCTGGTTAAATGCTGACATCCTTACTTTCAGCCATGACATAAACAAGTCACAAGAATTAAGAACGCTGTGCACTGACAAATCCATTTGAAACTGTGTATAGCAATAGCCTGTTGTCTGCCTGGAGCGGCCGAGAAGCACAGCTGGGAGAAGATGCTGTAATGTCCAGCCTTATGTCTGAATTTTGTCTATTCAATAAGTTTATAATATTACCCATAGCACTACTGGCTCTATGTTCACCGTTCATAGCAGCTGCAGCCTTACTTACGCTTCTTCTCTTTGGCTTTTTTCTGTGTTTGGATAGTGGCTACTTGGCACCACTTTGTTGAAAGTGTGCATAGTTTCAATCTGTGCCAATTGCTTCCTTCCGGCTTCCAGCACAAATCACAGCTCTATATCACTCCTACAGCACAACCACATCACTCTCTACATCGCTCTTAGTTACACTTTCAAACCTCGGCAGAACTTCTAGCTCAGTCCTTTGTATCTAGACTCCCGGGATCTGTGGCACAGTGCTGTACTGTAACATGCTGCAGACCAATTATTTTAAGAGGTCAATAAAGGTGACAACTGGTCTCTGTAACTGGTCCTTCACCGCGAAGAAAATATAAAGGCTTCTGGTATCTCACACTTCACGGTTTGATTTCAAATGTTGTTGCTCCCAAATCAAGACATCTGTCCCACTGAACTTGGCTGATCTGTAAACTATTTTTCCTTTGTCCTCCCTGAAGCACCCTGTCCTTGAGTCATAGAAGGGTTTTAACCACGAACTTCTGGGACACCACCATGCTGTACAGGTAATCTTCACAGCGTCCTCTGTCCTTCTGGCTACTGACCTACCAGAGAAACTCAAAAATTAAGATTAAACCATTCTGTTTACTCCAATAAAAAAGTTAATCAACTGTCAGAAGACACAGCACACCTTGCAAAAATCACACTGATACTGAATCACACTGATTTTATATTGAATTAATTTCATTGAGCTCAAGAAGTTGTTCTTGATTTACACCACAGTACCAGAGGACAGAATGAGAAAACACATGTGAGATTTAATGCATTTTTCCTCTTCTCCCGATTCGCATTTTAAAAATCAAGAAAAAAAAAGCACTGTCACTGCTGTCTGTTTTGTGGAGACAGAACTCTAAGAGAACTCTCTGAACAGCCCAAGACAGCACCTTTCACTGTACTAAATTCACTGAATGTAATTTTAGGATAAAAATAAAACATATCACTCTGCCTTGCCTCCTGCCCCCTCCCCCAGCCACTTCCTTTTGACATTTGCATGCCAGCCTAACCAAAAGAAACCACCCTCTTAGTAAGTCCATCTATAGAATAAGGCCCTCCTGCTATTATGAGGAATTCCTAATTGACCTTGGGCAGGAAGGGCTTGTACTCAAGACTTCTGTTTCTGTCCTGTAATTCCAGTCTAGCGTATACCTACTCAGAGATGGCTTACATGGGGATTTGAACTGCTGTGGGCTTCTGATGCTTAGGAAGCCCTTTTACTGACACAGAGAACATAAACCATTCAAGATGTATTATATATTTGCATAATGACAGACCCTTAGAGAGAATAAGAAGCAACTATGTGAGTAAACTGCTGAGCTATTATTGAAATGGAAGTGGCAGAAATGCCCACTTAGAAACAAGTGTCCAAGGTATGTTTACAGGGTTGTGGAAGAGGCTGTGGATCTTCCAGTTTTTCCCCTCCTGTATACGCAGCTGATAATGAGCACCTCGAATCTATAGCAACCTCCAATACCAATGTTTCAATACATTAGGTGCTTACTTGTAAAGCTTATCTATACATTCAGGCCAGCACAGGTACCTGTGTGGTCCCCCCAAAGGAAAACAAAAAAGGCTGCCACTAAGAGGATATTTTGCACTGGCTTGGCTTAAAGCAAGTCTGCCAGGCAACAAATACAGTTTGAACTCGTCAACTTCATGAGTAATTAACCCCTCAAATGCAGGCAAGTAGTCTTCATGATTGTTAAAGTTAACGCTGGTCTGTCCTGGCAGAAAATCTAAGATGCTGTGGGAATCGATCACTTGAAGTTTCCCCCAACCCCCCACATAGCTGTCACACACAGTCACTCCTCCAGGCACGCTTCAGATTTCCATCCATAGGTGGTTCTTGGGCACTGACATGCTGGGGCTTTCAAATAGGCTGTTACATTCTATGAGCTGCAAACATTGGGCTGCTTTTGATCTCAGCCAGTGAACTGCACCAGAACCAGCCCTATAATTTCAGGTTGGGGAGTAAAGAAGAAAACATGAACATGCTGAAAAGCAAGGGGATGTGTAAGCTAACATTGTCTTTTCATTTATAATTAAAAGCCATGAATCGAAAACCAATCAGCATGAGGAACCCCAGATGACACAAGGGAAAGATGCCATTCAAGGAAGAAGAGCAAAGGGAAGTGCACAGGCCTGACACAGCCTAATGCTGCACTGACCTGCTAACCACCATGCCTGCGCATTTTGCTGCTGGTAAACTCCCATTCTGTGGATGCTTAAAGATATACAGATCTTTTCTGAAAAGGACAGGAGCTTATGTGATGAGTAAGGGACAGATCTAGATCAGCTGGACAGCCCATCCTGAAGCAGTACAGAGAGGAATCCTTTATTTTACCCAAGAAGAACGTACTGTGGGGATGGAGAAACAAAAGCTTCCCTCCAGCTGAGACAATATATTCACTGTGAATCCCTGATCACACAAAGTCATCTCTGTGGCCTATACTGTAACTAGCAATCACCCCCATGACTTTTCAGCCAAGGACAGGATTTCAGAAAAGGCTGGTTTATTTACTTTTGCCTTGCATTGTGTGTAGTAATTTTCTCTAACACAGACTGAATAAAACACTAAGAGTTCGGAGCTGGTGCTATTTCATATCCACTTTACAGTTGTCTAAATAGCAGCATGAGGGAACACAACTGTGGATAGTAACACCTTACTAATGATCCCGTTATTACAACTCTTCATTAGAGAAAGAAACATTCTGGGAACAAGAGAGAACTGTTTTGCAATCCTATCCAAACTTGGAGTCTGCCAAAGACACCGATCTGAAACAAATCCTTTTGAGAGAGAGAGACTAATAAATAATGAAACAACATTGTTGTTTAAATACAGCACTTACGGTATACTCATTGTTAATGAATAATGTTCCCCCAGTCTTTCAGAAATGTTAAATACAAGTAACTAACTATCCTGATTTTTAACCGTAAGGCCAATAACTACTTCAAGAAGTGGAATGAAAAATTAGGTATATCTGCTACATTTAATACATATGATTTTTCCAATGGTAAATGGAGGTCCTATTTGTAAGTATTGATAAATTTCTGTAGTAGGGAAACTAGCCACTGATTTCAGAAGATCATCTGCACGTCTCATGTTGCTTGCTCTTCATTTCACTTCAGAGCATATTGTCAAAAAACTTCTTAAAAAATCTGAGCAGAAAGCCCTCGTCTGGCCAGTAGTATCTATTTTGGCTGGATGAGCAATTAGAAGAATGTCTAGAGAGAAATATCACTACTCTTTTAACTTGAGTTAGCTAATTGCCAATTAATTCAAGTCAATGAATACCCTGCAAATATTAATCTAGGCACTGCAGGACACAAACATTTGTGGTTTACTTCAGGGATCAGACTAGTACTGGTAACAAACTATCTGGATTAAAGGAGGAATAAAAATCTTAGGCTGAACA